ATGGGGGGGGGGGGGGGACCAAAACAAACCACAAAAACAACAAACCCAATATTTGGAAGACCTCTAACAGTTCCAGCTCATTTCAGTATTTGTGATATTTTAAAGCAATAATCCTTGCACACATCAGCTAGTTGGTGGGAAGTATCTTCTCCCTCGGCTGCCCTCCTGCATGCGGTTCGGCGAACGGTTGGCAGCAGAAGGGCCAGTCTGCGGAGGGCCCCGGGACTGCCCTCGGGGCGCAGCTGGGCACTACGTACGCAGCTAGGACGTGAAGAGGAGGTAGTCACAAGCTTGAAACACGGGTGGGCTCCTACAGCAACGGAGCGTGGGAGGTCCTTGGGCGAAAGGAACCGCACACAGCGGCTTGAAACGAACACGAACCAACCCAAACCTCTGGTTCCTGGCGAGCACAGAGTGGCTCCCTATTTCTCGTTATTGTATTATTGGTGGATCTTCTAAGCAAAGGATGTACTACAATATTGCTCAAGTGTACCCAGTCAGAACTAAAGCTCAAGCAGGTCTCGCAGGATTACATCAGTGACACAGGCTTTAGCCTAATCACAGCAACACAGATACCAGGCTACGGTTACGACCCACACCAAAGCCAAACAGCTTTTTCGTTATTGCAACTGAGGTATCAATATCACACAAGCAGAACGGGTCGATGCTCCGACAGCAACGCTCAACCCTCCCTACGCCGGACGAGGGCACAGCCAGGTCAGTGGCCACGCATCCCGCTGGGAGATAAAGGAGCCACGGGCCGGTGGCGATGGGATGAGCCACATGAGCGGAGGCAGGAGGAACACAGAGCATCACACACACACACAACAGGAAGGCTATCACGGCGTGCGTGAGACTAGTGAGAAAGAGGAACAGTCAGAGGGTAACTATTGCTTGACAAAAATTACACACCAGGATAATTCAATGACCTCTCCCTCCAAAAAAAAAAAAAAAAAAAATAAGAGAAAGAGAAAGAAAACCAAAACACCCAAAGGAAGAGAATATAAAAGATCTGGGTTAGTTTTCAGGTGGAGGTGAGGACAGGGCACAGGGGATGCTTGGAGGAGGCAGAAGAGCATTGCTGCCCTGGGACTAGAGGTGTGTAGCAAGGCATGACTGCGCTGGAAGACGGACATCAGAGATCTACGGGGGCTTGGCAGAGGATGGGTCGTTCGGGGAGGTTCGGGCAGCGGCTCCCTTTAATCACTGGCAACATGATTCTCGTTTTGGAGGGTGTGCCAGCGTTCAATCTTCTTGTCCTTGTTCTTCAAACATTCATACCAGTGTTTCAAGCGCTCCCCCTTAGCCGTAATGCCAAGCTGACAGCCGCCTGGATGAAAGGGAGAAGAAGAGACATCATATTCAGAGATGATGCTGATGTTCCGGTAAATCACTTTCATGGGGACAGACCCCACGTTTGCAGCACTTCTTTCCACCTCCTGGATTTAAAAATCTCATGGTAACAACTAGAGATGCTCTGCCTGCACAGAAGACCCCATGGGATGCAGGAGACGGGGCAGTACAGTGGCTGTACTGTATTTGATGGGCTGACACAAGCACCCAACTTGCATGGTCCCACCTCAAAGCTCAGCTTGGGGTTCCTCACAGGACAGGCGACCTACGCATCCTTCCCGTACAGCGAGCACTACATCGAGCATCAAAACCATACCCCAGGGAGCAGAGACTTTCAGCTCACCGATGTAATCATTTGATTTTCCAATGTCATAATCCCAGACAGAAATGTCCAGTGACTTCTTGGCCAGATCGCTGTGTTTTATATCATAGAAGAACTCCTGCAAAAGGAGAACACCCACATCACACCAAGTGCCCCAGGAAAACACACCCAGAAAACTGCAGTTGAGGAACCGCAAGTGATCTCTCTGTCCAGCCTGCGTTCAAAATCCAGCGGGAGGATATCTAAAATACACCAATAAAGAACAAACGCTCCTTCCCTGCAGCACTTCTCCTCCCAGGACCACAGTATGCTGCACAAACCCTTAAGCTGAGCTCACCCCTTGTATCCAAGTGAGCACTTGGCAGGTGTCCCATCAAAGCAGCACCAGCCCTGGGACCCCCCCAGGGATGCTCGTCCCACCCACACCCCCTGGCCGGGGTGAGATGTGGAGTCAGCAGCACCGCTGGCAGGGAGGTTTCGGTGTGTACGGTGCTGCCCGGCACTGAACTGGTGAGATCTCCCACGGCAAAGTCATTCCTAAAATATTCCTGGGTGCAGAAAGGGGAAAGGAGCCGGAGCAAGGAACTGAACCTCAGCAAGTCTTCCACCTCCTCCACACAACACAGTCATTAGCTAAGCTGATTTAATAACATAAAAAGAATAGCTCCATCCTTACCTCGTTAAACTCAGGATTCAATGTTTTCTTCTTAATCTGCGTCTTGTGCTTGGCCTTTTTTCCCATGTCAGGTTTCAGCCAACTGGGGGCAACAGAAAACAGCTCAAAACTCAAGTGCAAGAACAGTGTGAGCTCATAAGCTAAAAAAAAGAGTGAGGTTTTGGGCTTGAAAAACAAGCAACTGAAGATACTTATTTAAGGCAAAGAAATAGGTTAGCCAGTCTTCCTTCCCACCTTCTAAAATTATCTAAAATAAATGTAAAATGAGTAAAATCCTGAATACTCTTCCTTCCCCTGCCCCGGATTGCCAGATGAGACATGGGAAACCATCAAGTCCTGCTTTGTGCAGAGTGCTGAGCTCAGCAGAAATCTTTCGGGGGGAGCATCTCTTGCTCAGAGCACCTGGGTAACGTTTAGACACCAGAAAGCAGGGAGCCTGCACACCCACTCTTGGTGTCCTTCCAAACCACGCGTTGGTCCCAAGTCTTTTGTCCCCAACCAAGAAATGGTTGTCGGTGTTTTATGGAGCAAAAGAGGGTGAACTCTGGGTTTCGCTGGGGAGGAACCTGCCGAGACTGACAGCGGGGAGCAATGGAAACAGTCAAGGAACGTAGAAAATGAGCAGCTGGGTTGGTCACCAGCAGATGAGGGCAATCGCATGGCTGGTCACCGAGCCTGGCCACTGGAAAACCCAGCCAAGAGTGTGTGAACGCACAGGTGGGGAGAAATACAACAAATAAAGGATAAAATAGCCCGTTAGTGTTTAATACCACACAGACTAGTGTACTCAGCCAAGGTAGGTTCACCTAGAGAATATGGGAAAAATTAGGGACTTAGGCTTTGCAGCCTGGCTGCAGACCCAGAACTAAATTGTAGTGTTGGCATTAATTAGACCGATGTCGGAAGTTAACTTAAAAATGGAAAACCACCATCTTCTGTTTGTGGGAATGGAAAAAATAAAAAAAAAAAAAAAAAAAGAGAGAGAGAGAGACACTGAGAAGGAAAACTACTCAGTTCCACTCAGCTACAAAAAGATGTGCAAATTGTTCAACACGAGAATTATTGGAGGAGCTTTAGGGAGAACAGAGGGTTTTTTTCTGATGGTAAAGAGAAAACAGCAACAAAAACCACAACCGGGAATGACTGCAGGGTCCTCTCCGTGTCGCAGTTTATGAGGTTTGAGTTAAAACAACCTCGTTCCCCAACATTCACAGGAGCCACCCGATGAGCGCTGCTCCCCCATCACCCACCGCTGCAGCCGAGAGCACCGCAGCAAGGCATCGCCAGCACGAACCGCAGCAAACGCCGCTGTCTGTATTAATTAAGCTGATTTGTTTGCAGTGGAGACGTGGCACGGGACAGGGACTGGCACAGCAGGGCGATCCCTGGGCTCCCGGCTACAACCAGCCCGTGGGTTTATGGCGCAGCAAGCCGGGCACATGTTCTTCATCATGCGTCGAGGGACATCAAGCCACCCCTGCCCTGCAGCCATGGTTGGTCAGAGCCGGGGAGAAGGACCTCTGGTCCTCCAGCTCTGCAGCTATGAGGTGGCTGTTGGGTCCCTGCATTTGGGAACCTACGGGGAATGGCTGGACCTGAGGGCTGGGTCAGTCTCACCTAGCTTCAGCCATGGCATGGGCACTACCACCTTGCACAGGCATCGCCGGTGGGCAGCTCACTCCTGTATGGAGGTCTCAAGGTTCTTGGGAAATGTTCTCTCTCCAGTGGTTTTGGAAGGAGCTCTCGGCCCATCAGCTACTGCCCAAGGACAGTGGGTGGCTCCGTGACCACGCGTCACCGCACTAAACCATCCCCAGCTCTGACTTACAGTTTAACAAAAGGGTCTGAGTATCCGTTGGCATCCATAGCTGCTAAATGCACGCAGCGTACGATGCCGACAATCAAGCCGCCCTGCTGGGTGCTGTACATCAGGGACACGAGGATCTTCCCACGCTCCTCCACGTCCCCGCCACGATCTACCTGCAAGAGGAACCAACCAGAGATGGGGACACAGAGGCTGAGCGAGGAAGACTGTCAACTGCAGAGCAGATGAGACAAGATGGATACAAGGGAATCTTGCATCCCCATGACGGTGGGGGATAAAAGGAGGGCTCATACATGAGAGGTGATGGGTGAAACACACATGGAGCATGTTGTCCTCCAAGGACTCTTACCTCCTCTTCGTACAATGCCATCCCACGGGACGAGCCGGTCGTTCCAGCACGCTTCATCTTGGATGGGGAAGGGAAAAAGAGAGACCGTTGTGAGCGACCGCAGCTGGGAGAGGCACCGTCCTACGGCAAAGACAGCCCCGGGAACCCAGCCCAGCTCTTTTGCTGGACTTGGGAGTAGAAGGGGGCTCAGGTACACTCCCCTCCTCCATCAGCCTCCACCTCAGCACCTCACCCACAGCACCGGGGAGCAGAGCTCAGGGACAGAACAACCTGTCCTCTCCTCCAGTGATGTACACCAACATAGGCTGGCATCGCCAGCACATCTGCAGCCACCGGAGAGGTCCCCAGAGTTACTTCCCCTGGATTCCCACCACACTCTTATCTTCTGGCCTTGACGTGCCATATCAGCCCAGACACAGGTGGGAACCCATTTCCTAAAGATGCCAGTGAAGTCATGCACCCACAGCTCTTGGCTGGTTCCAGCTCCAAGCTCACCACTACCTACCTCACATGCCGTTCGTTAGCAACCTCAACGTTAATGGTGGCAGAAAGAAATGTCACAGAAACTCACTGGTATTACTCTCTCCAAGCAGATGTTGAAGTTCTTTTTCTGATTGGCTTTGAGTTTTTTCAAGGAAACTCTCGTTTCTCCAATAAACTCATTGTGGCCAAATTTGTCTTCATCACACACGGAGATCCTGCAGGGAACAGGAAAGGTGAACATCAACCAGGCTGGAGCAGTACCCGACTCCAGAGCACAAAACGACTCCTACAGAGGCACTGCTCAGGGGGTGGACAAAGCAAAGCACCCCCAAAGCCTCCGTCCATCTCGCTCTCCTCTGATCAAAAGCAGTCAGAAAACCAAACTTCTGTTTTGCCAGGCAAACCAACGTTTTTAACAGGTGCTCTGCGGTGGGGCAAGAAATCCAAAGGTGGAAATTTCCCTCCTATAGGAAGGAAAGGAAATTTAGAGACACCCCAATGTTTTGCTGGGAAACTGTCAAATCATGCGCAGATATGCAACATACAAATCTCTATGCTGATAAGAATAATAGTAATGTCAATAATTTAATATTAAATGACAGGGTCAAAATGCCTGCCTTTCTCTTTTTAAAAGGACCATCAAAATCACCATGTTCATGTGAAGCATGCTGATTTTGACCAAAAACTCTGCATTTCCAGGTGCTCTATCAACATCTTTGCTGCCAGGGCCCTCCTGAAGAAGGTTGCCTTGAGATGCTCCGTGCAAGGAGACCCGTGGTCCCCATGCCACCGCACCGCAGGATACCCCAGCTCCTCCAGCTTACCTGAGGGTTTTCCTTTGCATGTCCTCATCTGTGATGCCATGGTAAACCAGGGTCTCATTCCACACAGGATTACGGGTGTTGCGCAGCGTCTTCGTCCTCAGCTTATTTGACTACGGCGTCAAAACAAAACATGGCATAATCACACCCCTGAAACTTCTTCCCACCTAAATTTGGGTTCCTGGCAGAGGAGTGTAAATTAAATGTTCCATCACTTCTGGTTCACAAGAGGTGGTTTGACTGGGCTCTGCAGGACATCACCACTGCCTGCTGATGGTGGTCGCGCTGGTGAGCATCACCGATCCAACAACGTGGACCTTTACGCAAGCACCGGGGACTCAGTTGCCCGCAGTGGCCAGGGCATCCTTCACCGCCCAGTTTTTTTCCACTGTCTGAGGTCTACTCCCTCAAGGAGACTTGTACAAGAAAAAGTTGCACAAGGCAGGGCGTGCAGGGCTTGGGTAACGGCTCTCGTGGTCTAAAGGAGACGATAGCTTGGGAAACGAGAAGCTCTGTCACTTGTTCATGCGTCTTTCACAAACACACGTGCAAAATAAAAAAATTAAAAGAAAGATCAGCAAACCATAGAGCAATAGAAATCAAAGCAATTCCCAAGATGACGACACCTTGAGTTACTCTGTGCAAGCCTGGAAAGTCCACACACATAAAGTAAACCAGCAAATACCAATCCAATGGTTTTATTATCAGTTTTCCCTCATTTTGCACAAAACTGTGCTTCAGGAAAGAGTTTTCAGGCCCTGAGCCCAGAGCCAGCACCCCTTGGGCACTGGGCCAGCAGTGGTCATCCCTTCCACAAAGGTTTCCCCCCTGAGATCAGCTTAGTTGGGCTGAGGATTGAGATTTCCAGGGCTTTCTTTGATGGGGGAAGGAGTCAGAGTTTACCTAATGGTTATTTCTTCACAGCTCTAATAAGAACATGCTGCAGCTTCAAGTGAATAGATCGTTCAAACTCTGGTAATAGATTTCTCTTTTTTTTTAATTTATTTTTTGGTCTGATGTTTTGTGATTCATTAACAGTGTCACCTCCTCCGGAGCTTCCCGCCATCCCTAAGCAAATCCCTGTCTGCAGGATGAGCTGTTCCTCGGGTATGGGAGAACATCTGCAAGCATCATCACTTTTCAGAGATACCTCCTGGGTGAAATAGCAGCAGTGAGCGACTGCGCGGAGAAATCAAGGGCAGAAAGTCTGACGCAAAGAAGGGACCTCAGGGGAGCTTTGAGGAACCTCTGCTCCAGCCCCAGCCCAAAACACACCCAAACCAGGCAAAGCCTCACCTTGCTGGCTCCAGGCAAGAGGTGCAGTTTGACGTAGGGATCCGCCAGGCCGTTTGAGTCCATTGGTTTTAAGCCCTAAAAGACAATAAAGAAAACACGGTGCGTGGATCCTCCTTAAGCAGATCCAAGGAAAAAAAAAAAAAGCTACCCATGAAGAAACTCATCCAGCAAGCCAAGAGCCTCGTTCTCTGCCCCGAGCAGGCGTGGGTGCCACGATGCGTTGAAACATCAGACCCACTTGAGGACAAGCCCCACAGACGTCTCAGACCCACTCGAGGACAAGCCCCGCAGACCTTCCCAGCCAGGTGCAGCAGTGCCAGCGGGGCCGGGCTGGGTCTCCCAGGGGAGCAGCCTCTACCAGCAACCCCACTGCTTCCATCCCATCATACTGGGGGAACTGGGAGCCAGACGGACTTAAATGGGTGAAAGAAGAGGAAAAAGAGGACCGCTTACTTTGGCCTTGATGAGGGTGCAGTGCAGGGAACTGTTCTCCTGGTCATAGAGCAGGCTGAACTCCAGTGCTCCCAGCGTAGCTGACGGCGAGAGAGAGGAGGAGGAGTTGGAAATAGGACCCTGTTAAAACCCCAGCCAATAACTATGTTTAATCAGCCCCGATTAGTAATAATTAGAAAGATTTGCGGTTCGGATGTAAAAGCCATTTAATGCACGTCAGAGACTGTGCTGGCATCAGCCAAACGGCCACACACAAATCCAGCAAGGTTCATGAGCTCTGGTCATCGGAGCTTTACAAAGGCGGTACTGTCCAGGGAGGGCAGTTTGGGGCTTTTGAGCTGAGTTTAATATTCAGCAGACAAAGAAGGATGTAACCCTACAAACCCTTCTCAGGGCAATGTCACCCCAGGACCACCCTGAGAAGGTGTTTCAGCTTGGGTGGCCAACATCTCCTCCCAAGGCTTGGGGCTTGGCATTCTGTTCCCATTTTGACTTGTTGGAAACCAGCTTGTGGTTATCTTCACATGCTTACCAGGAAAAAATTACAGAGATGAAGAGTTAGCACAGAACCTCAGCTGGGTCCATCTGCTCCCAACCCAGCACGATTTCTGCACCCGCGCCTGGCCTGGAGCGGCTCTTCCCGTCCTGGGTGGGAACGGGCTGGACAGGTGGGGCACGGCCTTGCCATGGATGCTTGCCCTCATGCAGCAAATTCCCTCATTAGGGGAGCAAAAAGACTGAACACGGAGATCTCACAGTGTAAAGGTACCAAAGCCACCAAGCCTTTCCTACAGACAGGTCCGGTGGCATTTCTCACAGCAAAGGAGGCTCTGATGGAAAGAGGCAGCTGCCTTCGGGACTTGAATTTGGAAATGGGAAGGTGGTGGGAGCACAGAGCCTAAACCAGCACTCATCGGAGCTCAAGTCATTTGATGCAAAACGGACGGAAGATGCCAGGAGCTGCGCTGAACTGGCTGGGCAGGGACAGCCTGCGAGACCCTGCCCCAGCTCCCAGCCCCGCAGGATCCAGCATTCCCCAAGGACTTTCCCCGCAAGAGACCCAACACCTTAGGGTGTGAGTCACGGTCCTGCAGCAACACCTTCCTCAAAATTCTGGATTTCCCGAAGACACCGCTCCCTCCCCTCCAGCCAGACACCCCCGGGTACGTACTGCCTTCATCAGAGTCATAGCTGTTGGCATCCTCCTCCT